CTGGTCATCCCACTTGGGATCCCAGAGGGTGAGCGCTCTGAGCCTGTCAAGGCTCTCATTAGGTTTCAAGAAAAGTGTTCTTCGCCCGACCACCGCGCCTATAAGGGCCCAGCCCCAGCACCCCGAGGTGGGAGTCTGGCGTCTCTGTGCATCCGGGAGAGACAGGGCGTTTCGGTCTCGCCACCGACAGGTCCGCCGATAGCCCCTAGCCCGCGGCGGAGCCATGCGAATAGAGTCAGGCATGCTGTGTGGAGGAACCTTCCGGCTCAAATAACTTCAACCAGGAGCCCCGCAGAGGCATGCCGTGTGCACCATTCGAACGGCCTCGTCCAGACGAATCCGTAGATACCACATTTGTATGGGTTTATTCTCATTCCGAGATTGAGACCACGACGGGCAGGCGCTTCAGGTCATCCCACAGTCACTCACCTTCCATCGGACTGATATTCTCTGCCTGTAGCCTGGATGTCTCTGGATTGAAACACATACTCTCTCATATTCCCCATATAGGTCCCTTGGAGAAAGTGGTTTGACCTAGCCTTTTTAGGCCTCAGGAATTTGCATTAGCCCGGGAGTCCCGGGCTGACACTTAGTTTTTTTGTCAAAACACTTCGTCTGATTTTCAAAACGTGGCTGGTACTACAGCCTAAACACTTAGGTTTTTTTTCACACTTGAAAATAAGACTAAGTGTTATGGCACTTAGAATTATTTTCAAAATCCCCACGTAGTCCCAGGCACACTGAGTTTTGCCGAGTGCTCGTGGAGGCCTTTAGGCGGCACGCGTGGGGGGGGCTTAAGAGCGGGTCCCCGGGTCCGAGGGTTATCGGCTAAAACCTCCACAGAGTCTCCGCGGTGCTGGGACCTGCATTGCTCTATATCAAGCCGGATTTCAGGGCTTTTTTTGGGGAGAAATACTCCGCACACTCCCGCTGGCTCTCAGGCTCGCCAGTGGTGCATTTAGGACCGTTTTTTCACGCGTTTTTGGGGGATTACACCTCCACAGAATCTCTGTGGTTCTGGGACCTGCATTGCTCTATATCAAGCCGGATTTCAGGGCCTTTTTTTGGGTTAAATCCTCCGCACACTCCCGCTGGCTCTCAGGCTCACACTAAAAACTTAGGTTTTTTTTCACACTTGAAAATAAGACTAAGTGTTATGGCACTTAGAATTATTTATTCTAAATCCTCCGCACACTTACGCTGGGTCTCAGGCTCGCCAGTGGTGCATTTAGGCCCGTTTTTGACGCGTTTTTTGGGGATTAAACCTCCGAGGACCCCGCCACTTCAGGAGCTGCCCTTGGCTCTATTTAAGCCCGGGGTTTGACGCTATGTCTCGTGGGAAATGCGCCCTGGGTCTCAGGCCAGCCTGGGCTCTTTATAAGGCCGGTTTTCACTTGCTCTCTCGCGGGGAGACCCGTGGTATGTACCCCCTGGGTCGCCGGTTAGACAGTGTGGTTCTCCCATCCCTATACAAGCGTAATTTTAACCCAGGCCCTCTCGGGAAGTCATTTATTTCTGCACACACACACATACACGTTTTTGTTACCTGGTGGGTCCCTTTGACAGGGCCGTTCAGAATGGGACCCATAGACATAATATTTTTTACTGGGACTACTTTAAGTAATACAAAACAGTCAATAGAAACTCTTTTAAAGGAATTTTATTTTAGATTTTTTTTTCGAATTGCAGTGATTCTATTTTTGACATAGAATTTAATGCCACTCCATGTCCGATGTCTAAGGTCATCTGGTGAGGCATTAATGCAGGCCAGGCCAGGCCAGGCCAGGCAGTGAGACTTCCCAGGGACCTTTCCAGTCTGTATGAAAGGTGTCATGGTCTTCTCCACAGCCTTCACCTCAGATGCAGACCATGGCTTTCTCTAACGTTCTAGGGAGAGAAATAAAAATATATTAGCAATATACACTCCCAGGGTTAGGACCAAGCAGCCTGGCTGTAATCCCCCACCTGGTACACTTACCAGAAGGGGCACTGCCACTACCATGGGGTGCATCTGGATGAATGGTTGAAGGTTCTCCGCTTGAAGTTTCTTTTAGCCCGTCCGTTTGTGAGAGGATCTCTACTGCTCTCCCTGTCGCACAGAAAATAAAAATACAAGTGGCCTTTAGGGGAAAAAAATCATACATATTTTAATAATATCAAGAATTACCTTCAGGCTCAATTTGTATCTGGTCGAAGCTCTTTCCTTCGAATTCCGTCACTCTTCCCTGCTCCATGGCCATCAACACTTTGCTGATTTTGGCCAGCTCCAGTGTCCCCTCTGGTAGTCTGTAATATTGCCTGTGGATGCGAATGTCATGGCCGAGGAAGTTGGCTAGTATGTCCATTTCATTCTCTTTCATATTGACAACTGTAACTAGAAAAACAAAAACGCACACCAAGTTCTTCTCATGAGGTGCATGTGCTGGAGCAGAAATTAAATGTATTGGAAAATACACAGCACACTCGGATAGATGTCCAAAAGATCTAGTATTTATTACGTTTCGGCCTTAGCCTTCGTCAGATCATTTTTATCTTATTCATTTGGATCACAATATACAAAATGGTGCCAACCCAGGTGCTATAAGCCCCTTCCAACGAGTGGGAGGTCCCAGTGTGGTGACACCCAGTGAATTCAGCCAGTCTAAAATCAAAAAGCAGAATTAATACATAGAAGAGATCAACTTATAAAATGTATACAGATAATCATAAGAAACATCTGAGGTCAAAGTCCACATTTAGTCCATAAGGAGCTAAAGTCTTTAAGTGATGGATCCAAAAGTGCTCTCTTTTAGACAAAAGCACTTCCAGGTTTCCACCTCTTGGGGGTAGCGTTACATGTTCAATACCAATATATCTTAATGAAGAGATTGGATGATTGAATTCTATAAAATGAGCTGCTACAGGGTAATTTAAGTTTTTGCATCTGATAGTGCTTCTATGTTCTGCAATACGTGTTTTTAAAGCCCTGCTGGTTTTTCCTACATAGGCTTTACCACAAGGACAAGTGATCATGTAAATAACAGATTTTGTATTGCAGGATATAATTCCTTTGATGGGTATAACTTTACCAGTGTGGGGATGCTTAAAATTGGTGCACCGATAGGTGTAATTGCACTGACTACATCCACCACACCGGCGATTGCCATCAGGGATAGGAGTCAGGATAGTTTGGCCTGTAGTGGTTGGATTTGGGGGAAGATAGGAATGTACAAGTCTATCCCTCAAGTTTCTTCCTCTTTTGTAGACCACCAGGGGCTGCTCTTTAAAAGCTCCCCCCAAGGCTGAATCAGTCTGTAGTATATGCCAGTGTTTTGATATAATCTTTTTGAACTGTTCAGCAGGTTTAGAATAAACAGTAGAGAATATAGTCCGTTTTGAGGCAGTTTTTGGGGGATTTACCCTAAGAAAATCAGATCTTGGCTTACCCTTGATTTTTGTGGCAGCGTCATTCAGAACAGTTTTTTTATATCCTCTTTGCTCAAAGTTTGTCATCATGTTGCCTAGATTTCTTTCAAAGTCTTCATTATTGTGGCATATTCTCCTAAGCCTACAAAATTGGCTGTATGGGAGACTATTTTTAGTAAGGAGTTTCTTGCTGTAGGCTTTTTGTATAAGTCCGTATACAGCTGATTCTCCCCTCTAATAATCCAGAAATCCAGAAATTTCAAGTGCGCTTGATCAAAGTCCATGGAGAATGATATAAATGAGCAGCAGGAGTTCAAATATGTAAAAAACGCTTCAAGTCTTTGTTTTGTACCCTTGAATAAGCAAAATACATCATCCAAATATCTCTTCCACATGCACACATTTTGTTTGAATTCATAGTCACAGTAAATGAACTTTTCCTCAAATAGACCCATATACAAGTTACAGAAGGATGGTGAAAATGGGCTACCCATAGGTACTCCATGTTTCTGGATATAAAAGGTATCTTGGAAAACCCAATAGTTGTTGTTTAGTATTAACCATGCCATATCCAAAATGGAGTTTATAGAGGGTACCTCAATATTTGTTTTTGAGACATAATGCTTCATAGCCTCAATACCTCCATCATGTGGTATGGAAGTGTACATAGCATTTATATCAAAAGAGACCAAGTACCATTCATCTTCGCTGGACATAAAATCTACAGATTCAATCATGTTTATTATATGCCCTGTGTCCTTAATGAAAGAAGGCAATGTCTCAACGGCAGGTCTTATACTGTAATGCTATCCATAAGAATGGATAGGTTAGATGTTAGAGAACCTATACTGGCTACAATAGGTCTACCTGGTGGATTTACAAGGCTTTTGTGTATTTTAGGTAATGTATAAAAAGTGGGGACCACTGGATGGTCCACTTTTAAAAATTCATATTCATTTTCTGAGATTTCCCCATTCTGTAACAGGATGTTTAGTGCTTCATGAATGGAGTTTTTAAAATCCTCCGTGGGGTCCCTTGGAAGTTTCTCATAGAGCTTGTCATCTGATAATTGTCTCAGGCACTCATTTATGTAATCAGATTTGTTCATTAGTACAATAGCCCCACCCTTATCAGCTTGTTTTATAATTATAGACTCATCCTTCTGTAGATCATCTAAAGCAGACAGTTCTTCCATAGTTAAATTCTTGTGAATTTGGCAACTATTTTTACTTTTCAGGATAGCGTCCACATCATGTTCTACAAGTCTACAATAGGTTTCAATTGAATTATTTCGATTAGGTGGAGGTACAAATGTGCTTTTACCCCTAAAGTAGGTTTTTTGTACATTTTCAGATACACACGTATCTACTAAGGAGGACTGATGGTCTACGGAGGTGTTTGGTTTAAAGAATTCTTTAAGTCTTATATTTCTGAAGAACCTAAAGAGATCTATTTTAACATCAAAGTCCTTAACAGTATTTGTAGGCACAAATGAAAGTCCTTTGTTCAAAACCTCTAAGTGAGATTCGGTGAGGGACTTACTAGAGAGGTTGAAGACAGTCAGTTCTTTTGGTAATGGACCCTGGATCGGGTCCATGGTCTTTCTCCTCTTCCCCCGTCGTGTTGGGTACCTCTTGGTCTTTGTTGTAGTCTTCTTCCTCTGTTTCGTCCGTACGAGGCCTTGTTGGATAAAAAACTGGAGCTAGATGCTGTAGATAGTTGGTCAGAGGAGAGGTCTTCAGGTTCAGGCCGCCGCGCCATATATCTCTCTGTTGATCTCCAGGGGTAGACTTTTCCTTCCAGGGCATCCTTTTTGTCTCTGTAGACATAGTAGCTATGTGCTTTCTAAGTTTGGTTGAGGATAGCATCTCTGGATGCACCGCACCACATTCTTTGGCTACCTGGCGTAGGGCGTCTGATCCCCTGATGTGGGTGTCTGCGCCCGGGCGGGAAAAGAAGTATGGGTTATGGTCAGAGATGGAACAGGCCCTTCTGTTCTCCACCAGCACCTCCATCGAAGCAATCATTTCAGGAGTCAAAAGAACCGGCACTTTCCGACTTCTTTTCCCTTTAATTTCAATGCGTTGAAAATGCTGACACAGCTTTTTCTCAAGTTGGGACAGTCCCAGAGCAATGTCAGAATGGATCCCAGTCTTACTTCTTAAGGTAAAGGCTGTCAGTGGCATCTTTGAAACCTCACCTTCCCTTCTTCGATTGAAAATGATGACCTCACAAAGAGTCAAAACTGCCAGTTTAGACCAATGCTTAGACGTTGGCTCACTTATTAGGGTTTGCACATATTCAGGTCGACATACCTCAATATGTGCATGCATGGCTCTAACGTCCTCAGTCAGAGGGAGCAGGTCCGGAGTGTTCCACTTGGCTTGCCGGAGGGTCTGTAAGATAAGATAAGATGTGCTTTATTTATCTCTCAGAGGAGAAATGTACATGTCACATTTGGCATGGAGAGAACACTCAGATTGTGCAAAGGGAGGAAATGTGCAAACATGTTACATGCAGGATATATGTACAATAAAGTTACAATAATTAGGTACAACAAAAGTGACAAGTGTCAATTGGAAACAGTGTCAATAGTGCAGGTTTTCACACAGTGATCATTTAAAGTGACTTATTGTACAGTCTGACAGCGGTGGGGATAAAGGCCCTGCGGTAGCGCTCCTTCCTACACTGAGGGTGTCTCAGTCTTCCACTGAAGGAGCTCCTCAGCTCCTCTACAGAGTCCAGGGGCCTCCTGTCCCTCACCTCCTCTACAGAGTCCAGGGGCCTCCTGTCCCTCACCTCCTCCACAGAGTCCAGGGGCCTCCTGTCCCTCACCTCCTCCACAGATCCAGGGGCCTCCTGTCCCTCACCTCCTCTACAGAGTCCAGGGGCCTCCTGTCCCTCACCTCCTCCACAGAGTCCAGGGGCCTCCTGTCCCTCACCTCCTCCACAGAGTCCAGGGGCCTCCTGTCCCTCACCTCCTCCACAGAGTCCAGGGGCCTCCTGTCCCTCACCTCCTCCACAGAGTCCAGGGGCCTCCTGTCCCTCACCTCCTCCACAGAGTCCAGGGGCCTCCTGTCCCTCACCTCCTCCACAGAGTCCAGGGGCCTCCTGTCCCTCACCTCCTCCACAGAGTCCAGGGGCCTCCTGTCCCTCACCTCCTCCACAGAGTCCAGGGGCCTCCTGTCCCTCACCTCCTCTACAGAGTCCAGGGGCCTCCTGTCCCTCACCTCCTCTACAGTCCTGTGCAGTGGGAGGTGTTGTTCATGATGGCCCCAGTGTGCCCCTCCTTGATATCCCGCAACCCACCACCAGGGTTCCGACACATAACACACTTTTTTCAGGAAAGTAAACCTCCAGGGGTCCTTTCCATATTTTTACAGAGACTGCATAAGGACCGTTAGAAAAGCATTACCCATTGATTATTAAGCTTGGACCAGTGGGGTCCGGTGTTCGGGCCCCACCACGTAAAACCAGTCCCCATGACGTGAGTGGAATCTCAGGTTATGGAACCCACCAGGAGTTGAAAACAAGTGCACACACACACACACACATATACACACACACACACACACACATACACACACATACACACACATATACACACACACACACACACACACACACACACAGACACACACACACACACACACACACACACACACAGACACACACACACACACACACACACAGACACACACACACACACAGACACACACACACAGACACACACACACACACACACACACACACACACACACACACACACACAGACACACCGACACACACACACACACACACACACACACACACACACACACACACACACACACACACACACACACACACACACACACACACACACCGACACACACACACACACACACACACACACACACACACAGACACACACAGACACTGATTCATGTGTTTGCTCTGCAGGATTCACCACGAAGGAGGTGTCTGACCAGGTTGCTAACGGTTACCGCATGCCGTGTCCGTCCAAGTGTCCGGAGTTTCTGTATGAAACCATGAGGGAGTGTTGGAGCTCAGACCCAGACAGCAGACCCTCATTCAGGGCCCTCAAGCAGCGGCTGGAAAACAGCATCGACGAGTGGGAGCTAACGCCGCAAGCTAACACCAGCGAGCTATATTCCAACAAGCTAACACTGGCAAGCTAACGCTGGAGAGCTAACACCAGCGCAATGCCAACATGCTAACACTGGCAAGCTAACGCTGGAGAGCTAACACCAGCGCAATGCCAACATGCTAACACTGGCAAGCTAACGCTGGAGAGCTAACACCAGCGCAATGCCAACATGCTAACACTGGCAAGCTAACGCCAGATACACAGACACTCGAGAAGCCCTGAAAGTGTGTGTCTGTGTTTGAGTATGTCTCTCTGAGTGTGTGTATGTGTGGTGTATGCATGTGTGTGTTTGTCTGTGTCTGTGTGTGTGTGGTGTATGTATGTGTGTGTTTGTCTGTGTCTGTGTGTGAGTGTGTGTAGATAAAACTGTGACCTCTAGTTGTGTAAATATTAAATGAGACACGTCTCAAAATCGAGTTTTCCTCAAAAGCAGACCTGGAGTTGTTATTCTGGTTCCATCCAAGCTAATACTAGCAAAGCATCTGGCGCCCCCTGCAGGTGAAAGCCTGATCCTGTCAGACCTCTGAAGCTAAGCGGGACAGGGCATGTTAGTACTGTGATGAGACACCTCTGGCAACAATAAGACACTTTACCCACGTTAGAATGAGTCTAGTGTGTGAATGGTTGGTGGAGGTGGGAGGAGCTACACTTCTGTCAGAGTGCCCTAGGACAGCTGTGGCTACAGCAGTAGTTTATCGCCAGTTTGAATGAATAAGCATCTTTCGAGTGTCCATAACAGTGCTGTTCTAAACCAATTCATTAATATTATTATTATAATATGTGGTACAAACACTCACTGTCAGTGGCTCCAGACGAGACCAGGCCACAGTTCTCTGGGCTGCAGCTCCGACGTGCTGCCGTACATTAGTAAACCGTACATCCATGAATGTGTGTTATTTTAATGTAATATCATGCCATCAGCCTGCCCAGGGACTGCGCTGGAAATGATCTCTTGAGCTATAACCTGGTACAATGCATCTTTCCCTTGGAGGTTAATTTTTATTGAACACTGTCCCTGTCATCATTCTATAAATAAACTAAACAAAACTAAACTGTCCCTGTGTTCACGGACATTTTCAACACCTCTCTGCAGTCCTGCCATGTCCTGCTTCAAATCCTCCATCATTGTCCCCGTCCCGAAGAAGCCCAGGATCACAGGACTCAACGACTACAGACCTGTAGCACTTACGTCTGTCGTCATGAAGTCTTTTGAACGCCTGGTTCTCTCCCATCTCAAGTCCTTCACCTCCCCCCTCCTGGACCCCCTGCAGTTGGCCTACAGAGCCAACAGATCTGTAGACGACGCCATTAACCTGGCGCCGCTGTGTATGGTTCGCCGTCTGCCCCTACCACATTTGGTGATTTTTCTGCTCTTTATAGGGCTTATTATTGAAAATGTGACGTCGCTGTTGATTTATGATCGCCTGACACTTTTAAAGATCCGGGATTCTGTAAATTATGTGCCCGTTCAAGCCTTTGATGGACATTTTAAGACATCACCACCTGTCCTCGAGTCTGTCCCACTCTTTCTGCAGCGTCATGTGAGCGGGTTGCCTCGCAACAAGAGGCGCAGAAGACGAGGAAAGAGAGGCGGAATCTCTGTCAGGTTCAAGGCATACCTTGCGTCCTCCGGTGTGGATAATCGCAATTGGACAGCAGATTCCGGTTTCAACCTCCGGCGTCCCCTCCAGCTCTGCTATCGGTGGCTATGTCTCACAGGAGAATCTCCGCCCGCTGGTCCGCGCTGTCTCGGAGCCTGTCAGCTGTGGATCTCTCTATCTCTCTGCAGCACTGTTCAACGCCCGTTCACTCTCAAACAAGACTTTCATCATAAACGACTTCATTTCTACGCACGATCTGGATTTTTGCTTTCTGACGGAAACCTGGCAAAAATCTGGTGATAACAGCGCCTTCACTGAGCTCCTCCCACCTGGATATTCATACCTCAGTACACCGCGGCTCTCAGGCCGTGGTGGTGGCCTGGCTACTGTGTATAAGCATACATACACCTGTCGCTTTCTGCCCACCAAAGCCTACAGTAGTTTTGAACTGCAGCTCTTTTTATTTGAGTCAGTCACCCCTGTTTTGTGTGCCATTGTTTACCGCCCACCTAAGCACAATAAGAATTTTATAACTGAGTTTTCAGAATTTCTGGCCGAGTTTGTCCCATCATATGACAACATCTTAATTTGTGGGGATTTTAACATTCATGTGTGCTGTCCATCAAATACTTTAGCATCTGAGTTCCTCTGCCTGTTAAACACTGTTGACCTGTCACAATCAGTACATAAACCCACACATAATCTTGGCCACACACTGGACCTTATTATCTCACATGGTCTACCTGTAATACTACAGGAAATATCTCAGACATGCATTTCAGATCATTTCCCAATTCTTTTTAATTTTTCTGTACCCCGTTCTGCATCCGACCCTCTCACTACACCCTCCTGTCGCCGCATCATTTCCTCCTCCACCCCTGCTCAGTTTGCCACTGCCTTTAGGACCACTGCTCTGTACACAGGGACAGTTGCGGCTCCCCATGTCTGTCCAGATGATGCAGTTTCCTCCTTCCACTCTACCTGCACTGACATTCTGGACAGTATTGCACCATCCATCCATCCATCCATCCATTTTCTTCCCCTTAATCCATTTCTGGGTCGGGGGGGTGGCAGTCAGAGCTGCACCCAGTACACTTAGCACCAGCCCCTCACTGATCCTCTGCAGGTGGTGAGTCCACAGGAGCTGAGATCTTTCAGTGGGAGCTTCAGGCAAAGTGGGGTTAAGTGTCTTGCCCAAGAACACAACGACAGTAGTCATCAGTGGGAGTCGTGAAGTAGGTCTTATGGTGGGCTTGAACCCACGACCTTCAGGCTCAAAGGCCAATGCTCTACCAACTGAGCTACTGTCGCCCCAGTATTGCACCATTTAGGTGCAAATCTACTCAAATCAAACCAGACCCGTGGCTCAATGAAACCACCCGAGCCCTGAGGCAGCAATGCAGACAGGCTGAGCGCAGGTATAGGAAGGACAAGCTTCAGGTGTCTGTGGAGATCCTGAGGGAGAGCCTAGCCAGCTACCAAAAGGCAGTCAGGGAGGCTAAATGCCAATATCTATCAAATATTGTCTCCTCCAGCTCTAGCAACCCTAGGGTGCTTTTTAACTCAATACAGTCTGTGATTAGTCCACCTGGCAGTGTGCTAAAGAATGTTTCTGAGTCTACATGTGATGGATTCCTGAAGCATTTTGTGGATAAAGTGGCATCAGTGAGGATGGGCATTGGCTGTAATGCTCACTCTACTGTTGTTTATACTCCTCCACTGCCCCCTGCTGTTCTCGAAGAGTTTGAGCCTGTGACACTGACTCTCCTCTCTGAGGTGGTCCAGGGGATGAGACCCACAAGTTGTCCTCTGGATATTGTTCCATCTAAGGTTCTCAAACATGCTTTTGACACAGTGGGCCCATACCTTCTTGCTTTGTTTAATAGCTGCCTTAGCACTGGATCTGTTCCTGCAGCCTTCAAGCATGCTGTGGTTAGGCCACTGTTAAAAAAACCTAATCTAGATCCTGCTGTTCACCTGCCATTTTTGTCTAAGGTTTTAGAGAAGCTAGTCTTCATTCAGTTGCAGACCTTTTTGGAAAATAATTCTATTTTGGAGAAATTTCAATCCTGGTATTAGTATTAGATAGCAATATGGCCTACGTGCAGGACTCTACAAGGACTCTACAAGGACTCCATGTTATGACTATGATGTGACTGTCTCTTTGTGACACGTATGTCTTTCGATGTGTGACGTGACAATGACTATATAAACTGTGTACTGCCTTTATTCTGTCTGAGAGAAAGAAACAGAGTAAAACAGTGGAACTTGAGAGAAACTTAAATAAACTTCCAGAGTTTGGCACACCACGATCCGTCTCTGTCTGCTTAAATCCTAACAGATTTGGTGGAGAATGCGCGGCTCAGTGTGTGCCATTCTCTGGATTGTTTTGAGGGAGTTTTGCTCTGTTTCTTTTCCTCTGCGTGAGAGATCGGCATGCTGTGTCTGGGAGCGGGGATTCCAGCAGGCTGGAAGAGCTGTTCCTGGATGCTTCTTGTCGCTTCTGTCACTTTTGTTTTTTAAATTGAATATTCCGACGCGGAAAAGAGTTGGCAGACCTCTCGGACAGTCCTTGGCACCTGTTTGACAAGAATAAGGTAAGCAGACACCTTTTTTAATATGTAAAGTCTGCATAATTGGATACTAGCTAAATTTTGGTCTGTTTTTTGGGGTCTGTCAAACTCTCTAAATTGTATTTTGAAGAAGTCTCGGGGTTAAAGTCCCTTTGAGCCTCGGGGTTAAAGTCCCTTTGAGAAAGTCTCGGGGTTAAAGTCCCTTTGAGCCTCGGGGTTAAAGTCCCTTTGAGAAAGTCTCGGGGTTAAAGTCCCTTTGAGCCTCGGGGTTAAAGTCCCTTTGAGAAAGTCTCGGGGTTAAAGTCCCTTTGAGCCTCGGGGTTAAAGTCCCTTTGAGAAAGTCTCGGGGTTAAAGTCCCTTTGAGCCTCGGGGTTAAAGTCCCTTTGAGAAAGTCTCGGGGGTTAAAGTCCCTTTGAGCCTCGGGGTTAAAGTCCCTTTGAGAAAGTCTCGGGGGTTAAAGTCCCTTTGAGAAAGTCTCGGGGTTAAAGTCCCTTTGAGAAAAGCCTCGGGGTTAAAGTCCCTTTGAGAAAAGCCTCGGGGTTAAAGTCCCTTTGAGAAGAAGCTTCAGGGTTAAAGTCCCTTTGAGAGAAACCATGGTGTAGAATTAAAAGTAATTATAAAAAGGGAAACGTTAAAGACAAGAGTGCCTTTTGTTACTAGTGTGGAAAGTGATCACTTCTAGATTTGGATGACAAAAGTTTAAAGAACAACATCAGTTATATTCGCTTAACAAAGTAATCTTGAAAGTTATTCTTTCTCCAGCAGGGGTC